AAAAAAAAAAAAAAAAAAAAAAAAAAAAAAAAAAAAAAAAAAAAAAAAAAAAAAAAAAAAAAAAAAAAAAAGAAGAAACTGAAGGAAAACAGGAAGGAAATTGGCAGACAAGGAATCATGGGGACTTACTAGTAACATTAAGCAAACTGGTACCCCCATTCTATGTCAGCCCACCTCTCAAACAGTGCTGAGGATCAAACCCAGAGCCAAGCATATGCTAGGTAAGGAAGGCCTCACTACTGGACCCAGCACATGCTCCTCTAACCCTTTACTCAACCAGCTGCAGACTAAGACTAGAAAGGAGTGTCTGTTCATTCATTTGCTAGAGATATGAACTCACTCATTTCACTCAGTAAGTATCACGAACCTTCTGCATACTAGGCATTATTTTAGGCTCCAGGGATACAGCTGAATTCAGTAAGGCAGATTCAAACCTAACTGTAGGATTTGAAACTAAAAAACTCTTAAAGGGAAAAGGAGTAGATGCATATGACTTTAGACAAAGCAATGGTTATTTAAATGTGATTCCAAAAGCTGAGGCAGCAGAGAAGAAGAAATACAAGGTGGATTTTAAAATTAAACTTTCATGCTGGAGAGACAGCTAAGCAATTAAAAGGGTTTGCTCTTTTCCCAGAGAACCTGAGTTTGATTCCAGCCACCCATGTAAATTCAGCTCCAGGGGATCTGACACCTTCTTCTGGCCTCTGTAGGCACCTACCTATATGCATACACACCACACACACAAATACAAAATAAAAACAAATCTTAAAAATAACATAAAAATAGGCAAGGTATGGAAAAGGCATTTCTCTAAAGAAGATTAAAAATGGCTAGTAAGCAAATGAAAAGACTCTGAACATTGCTAGTCATTAGGGAAATACAAATAAAACCACATAATACTTCACATTCCTTGGGGATGAGTATTACTTAAAAAACAATGAGCCAGGTGGTGGCGGTGGCTGCGGCAGTGGCAGCAGCGGCGCATGCCTTTAATCCCAGCACTCAGGAGGCAGAGCCAGGTGGATTTCCGTGAGTTCGAGGCCACCCTGAGCTACAGAGTGAGTTCCAAGAAATGCTCCAAAGCTACACAGAGAAACCCTGTCTCGAAAAAACAAAACAAAACAACAACAAAATCAAACAAACAAACAAATGAACAAAACAAACCCAACACCAAAAAGCACAAGTTTAAAATAAACAAGTGTTGGTGAGGATGTGGGCAAATCGGAAGTCTTGATTACGGGTACTGGGGAAGTCTCATAGGACCCCTACTGTGGGAAGCACATGGCAGATCCTCCTATTGCACCCAGTCACCACAGGAGCCGGCAACTCCAGTCCTTGGTACAGACCTATGAGAAATGAAAACATGGCGGCACCACCGTGAAAACTGAAGCTGCAGGACAACCATACTCCCTACAGGGAGGGAGGCCGGTCCGGCAGAAGCTTGGGTTCAGATCTCCCAAACCTTTCTTCTCTTCTGGCTTGTCCTCAGAGGTCAAGAGGTCAGCATCAGCTCTCTCTACAGCTCTAGAGCTTTGCTTGTAGAAGGTGCACAGAGCCTAGATACATTCCTTCCTGTCTCTTAGTTCATGTGGGAAGAAACCTAGTTTTTAAAAAAAATCCCTTAATCCCAAGGCTTTGCTGAACTAGCAAGAGAACCAGAGGCCAGAAGACTTTCAAAATAATGGGTTTCATTCTTACATTTTCCTGTGTGTAACATTGTATATTGCTGTGTATGTGTGTCTCATTTAGTTTAACCGGGGCCATCTGTGTGAGCACTGTGTGAGATTGGAACTCTCTGTAAGAGCCTGGTGGGGTCACCAGTGGGTACACAACTGAGCGCAATGACTTCCCCCCTTCTCCAATGCATCAGCAGCCAAGTGCCCACTATCTTGGAGCCTTCACCTGTACCCTCTTGCAAAGGATTATCCCAGCTGGTCGTGTTGACTGTTTATAGCCACTTCCGGTCACAAGCCCCTCACCTGAGGATCTAGCCATTCTCTACCACTCTTGCATACAACCCTGTCTAAACTGCACATGGCTTCTGGGAGGGGCTAGAGTATACAGGCCCGGGAGTCTTGGTGAAGGAAGCTCTCACCTCTGCTGGGTCAAGGCTTCCCAGGTGTGGCTTTTTTGGGAGCGGAGAGGAGCATTCACACCCCTCTAAGCAACTCCTATCCTCTGTAAGGAAGACAAACTCATTTGGTTCCCCCAGGACGGACTCTGGCTGAGACCTCAGGGGAAGAGATAGACCAACTTCTTCCACCAGGGAGGGAGTTTAGCAACAGTAGCAAATTCGGGAGAAAGGGATACGGCTCTCTGAACCTCTCCTCCATCCTGCCTGGCTGACAGGCCCATTCTTGTGCAGACCCAGCGCAGGTACTGGCAGCTGCTTTGAGTTCATAATTCTGACGGCTCTGTGTTACCCCGTAAATGGCTTGTTTGTTTTTTGAGACAAGGTCTTGGGTAGCCCAAGACGGCTTCAAATTCACTGCACAACCCAGGATGACCTTGATCTCCTACCATATCCACCTCCCGGGTGCAGGAATTACAGGTCTGAGTCACTATGCATGGTTTTATTTTTATTTTTTGAGGCAGTCTCTTACAATGTAGTCCAAGCTGGCCTCAAACTTGCTAAATTGGCCCAGGCTGACTTCAAACTCCACCTTAGGCCACTAGCTTCTGGGATTACAAGTGTGAGCCACCATGAGCAGATGAACATTTTATTTTTGAAGTCATAAAGACATTTTACTCCCAGCTTAAATTTAAGGAAACAGCCTGCTGATGTTGCATGCTTTTTGTCTACATTGTTTGGTGGATTCATGTGCTACCTCAGGAGTTCTAACTCCTTTAGGGCAGATTCCAAACCCCAGTACCTTAGTGTAAATACAACAGCTGGATGCCCAATAACTGTTGAGGGATGGAAGAAGGAAAGCATATTCAAAGTACAGCTCGGAGTCTAGTAGTTGTCAGGGGACATCAGAAAAGGAAACAGAAGTTTTTCTTTGGTTTTGCTAGGCTGGAACTCACTATGTAGATTGGTCTGGTCTGGAATGTTTGCTCCCCCTGTCTCTGCCTCCTGAGCGCTGGAATGACCAATGTGTGCACTACCCAGCTAGAGAGACAAGTCTTGAAAGAAGTCTAAGAATCTGCCTCAGAAGATGCAGCAAGGGAAGGTTGCTCAAGCTGCAGAGTATCTGTAAAGCAGAGGTAACATCTAGTGGTTAAAAGAGCCAGGCAGGCCGGGCGATCGGTGGTGGTGCACTCCTTAAATCCCAGCACTCGGGAGGCAGAGCCAGGTGGATTTCTGTGAGTTTGAGGCTAACCTGGTCTACATGAGCGAGTTCCAGGACAGCCAAGGTTACACCGAGAAACCCTGTCTTGAAAACCCTAGATAAAGCAGACGGGGAAGGTAGGTAGGATATGATCTACGAAATCTACCTGGTCTGAGGCGTCTTCCATAAAATCTCTGCACCAGCCCAGTACTGGGCTCAAGGCAGGCAGTGGCAGCCGTTGTGTAGGGCTGCATCTTCCCCAGCATCCCTCCCGACCTCCAAC